TAAAAATAAAATAAAATCATCTGAGAAAGAAATTAGGCAAATTTCCACTCCCCTCCTAGGAGCTCACTCACATGAATGGCAACATTTCCTTCATTACATAATCTCTGTGTCTCACTTTTCTTTCCTACGAAATGGGAATAATAACACTTATTTCATAGGGTTGTTATGAGAAGTAAATGAGTGAGTTAATTTGGTAAGGCCTTAGACAGTGCTTGACACATAGAGAGTAACATATGCTATTATCTCATCCAACTCCTAATGTTGTAGATGAAGATCATCTCTGTTAATCCTGCCTTTAATTCCCAAACTCTGCCCCTAACAAGCACCAGAGGACTGAACTAGGAACGAGGCCATCTGTGTCCCAGCATCAGCTAAGGAAATGAGCTATGTGATCTTGGCCAAGCTGCTTAGCCTTCATTTCCTCGTGGGGACGATGAAGTGGATGCCTACCTTTCTGGGTTTTCTGTTGAAAATCAACTGACATAGTGCACTGAAAGGATTTGACCAAGGCCCAAAACAAATGCCATTTCTCTACCTTCTTATTTTACCAATGTTATTAGTTTGCTAGGGCTGTTATAACCAAGTATTACATACTGAGTGACTTAGACAACAGAAGTTTATCATCACACAGTTCTGGAGGCTAGAAGTCCTAGGTCTAGGTGTCAGCAGGGTTGGTTCCAACTGGGAGGAAAAATCTGTTCCAGTCCTCTCCCCTGGCTTCTGGTAGTTTGCAGGCAATCTTTGGCATTCCTTGGCTTATAGACACATCCACCTTATCTCTGCCTTGATGTTCATATATGTTCTCCCTATGTGCATATCTCTGTACCCAAATTCCCCCTTTTCATAAAAACACCAGTCATACTGGGGTGGGACCCACCCTAAAGAACTCATTTTAACTTGATTACCTCTGTAAAATCCTATCTCCAAACAAGGTCACATTCTGAGGTCGTGGGGGTCAGGACTTCAACATATAAGTGGAGGGGGGTGGTGACACAATTCAACCCATAACACTGATGAAGAAATGAAGACCTAGAATGGGTAGTCCAGTATTTAGGAAGAGCAGGACATAAATCCAGCAGACGTTGACAACTTTTTTGATGTGTATTGAAAGAAATGTACAAAACACTTCTTTTGAAATTCCAGACTAAAGCAACTCTGGCTGAGTCCTTTTTGAACCTCAAATTCAGCCCAGATTCGTAAATCCTTGAAGAAAACCCGAGCCAATTTTGGAATTTCCAACAAGATTCAGAGGCTGAATGGATCAGACAGAATTTCATTTGGCATTTAGGATTATTGAATCTAACCTGAAACTTAATGCAAATTCATGGAACACAAACTCCTTACAAACTGAATAGAAGCAAATACTAAGGGCTCTCGAGCCATCTGGAATGTACATGCTGAATGTTGAGGTTTTCCCATCACAATAACACGGTGGGGAGGGGAAAACGTGGTGGGGAGGGGAAGGCACGGCTGGCAAGTTCTCACCATCACCAACCCTATAACCTAGTGTATTTGAATCTCATGTGAATTTGAATGATTTCAAATAGTGCAACACAGAGATAATAATAAAGTCTCACTTTGTGAGCAAAATTTTAAAAATATGAACTCTCCTTAAATGTAAAAATTTGTCAAAGCTTGCAAAATTTCAAGATGGGCAGGCTGAGTGACTTGCAAACTTTGTATCGGTTAATGTCATAGGAAGGTGTCACTTGAACTGGTTAACAGAAACACCTGCAATCTTTGATCAGCAGAAACTATCACTCATGTACATCCAAACATCCACCAGTGATTTCAGTAGCCATTGTGCTCTCACTTTAAATGTGACAGTTGTTAAGAATTAGAATCTTTTGGGGGCACCTGGGTGGCTCAGTCATTAAGCGTCTGCCTTCAGCTCAGGTCATGATCCCAGGGTCCTGGGTTCGAGCCCCGCATCAGGCTCCCTGCTCAGCGGGAGGCCTGCTTCTCCCTCTCCCACTCCCCCTGCTTGTGTTCCCTCTCTCGCTGTCTGTCAAAAAATAAATTAAAAAAAAAAAAGAATTAAAATCTTTTGGGGCACCTGGGAGGCTTGGTTGGTTAAGGGTCCAACTCTTGATTTCGGCTCAGGTCTTGATTTCAGGGTCCTGAGATGGAGCCCCAAGTTGGGCTCCGCACTCAGTGGGGAGTCTACTAGAGATTTCTCTCTCTCCATCTCCCTCTGTCCCTCCTCCTGCTTGCGTGCTTTCTTTCTCTCTCTCTCTCAAAATAAATAAATAAATATTTTTTAAAAAAGAATTAAAATCTTTTGAATAGTCTTTAATGGTGCCATCACAGGTGTTTACTTAAGTGATGGCCCTAGGACTGAAAAACTCACTGGAAAATCAGTCACTGAAATTAGACTAACTTCCAGTCCAAAAAACTAGAGAAGAAGTCCAGATACCAACCTCAACATACCTTATTGTTAAATTAGGAGAGAGTATTATGTGAAAGATGTAAGGCTAAGAAAACAAAAGCACTTGGGCGCCTGGGTGGCTCAGTTGGTTAAGCGACTGCCTTCGGCTCAGGTCATGATCCTGGAGTCCCAGGATCGAGTCCCAGGATCGAGTCCCGCATCGGGCTCCCTGCTCGGCAGGGAGTCTGCTTCTCCCTCTGACCCTCCGCCTGTCATGCTCTCTCTATCTCATTCTCTCTCAAATGAATAAATAAAATCTTTAAAAAAAAAAAAAAAAAAGAAAGAAAACAAAAGCACTTCAAGCAAAAATAGCCAAAATAGGTGTGGGGTCTTACACTTTGTGAATACATCCCCTCCACTACCCTTCAACTGTCAACATTTTAATTATGCAAAGCCTCCAGGAACATGTTGCTTGAATTAAAGACCACCCTTCTGCATTTTCTTAACAATTTCATTGACTTATAATTTATAGATCACAAGATTCACTCCTCCTAAGTGTACAATTCAGTTATTTTCAATAAATTTCCTGAATTATGTAGCCATCACCATAATCTAGTTTCAGGGCATTTTTATCACCCCAGTAGGATTTCTCATGCCCATTTACAATTAATCCCCATTCCTACCTCCAGGATCCCACTAATCTACTTTTCGTCTCCTTAGAGGTGCCTTTTCTGGATATTTCATACAAATGGAATCATACAATACGTGGGCTTTTGTGTCTGGCTTCTTCTACTTGGCATAATGTTTTTGAGTAGATCCGTGGTGTAGCACGTATCAGTATTTCATTCCTCTTTATTTCTGAATGGTATTCCATTGCATGGATCCTGTAGTTGTTTTTAGGCTTAAATTTAGAAGACCCAAAGGCCTCGCCACTTCTTACTGTGTGCCAGATATAACTATAAGTATGGTAGAAAGTACCCAAATATGGCCTCCAGCAATTCTTCCCTTCCCTCTGCACACTCCTGACACTGAGAGGTGGAGTCTACTTTCCTTCCTTCGCTCTAGAATCTGGACTGGCCCTATCCCTTGGCTTATCCAATAGAGGTAGCCACACTGATGTTCTGACATTTCTGAGCTCACTTAAGAGAACTGACAGCTTCTGCTTCTCTTGGAAGCCAGCCATCATCCTGCAAAGGAGTGATGGCCAGACTACTGGTCGATGAGACGTCACAAGGAGAGAAACTTTCAACCGTAAGAGGCCTTCTCAGGCGTTCCAGCCCCAGTTGAGCTCCCAGCTGAATGCAGCTCTGTGAGTGACTGCAGTTACACCAAATGGAGCTGAGAAACCAGCCAGCTTAGCCCAGGCCACCGCGTAATGAGAAATAATAAATGACTGTTGTTTTAAGCCATTCTGTTTTGGAGCAATTTGTTATGTAGCAATAGGCAACCAAAACATCACAATTTAACCAGTCTTCCTCTTCCATTTTAATTCTTGTTGATTTTGTTCTTTTTGAGTTCTTACAGTTGTATGTCTTCTCTTACAAGAGATTTCTAATGGGTGTTGACTTCAACATCACTTCCTTGGCTGGTTGTGATACACTGAAGAGTTATATGTCAGTCAACCGGCTTTCTGATATTTATATGCTGAAATCTTGAGGCCAATTTTTTAAATGCTCTGAAGAGAATCACCTGGAAAGCTTTATAAAAATGGATTCTCCATCCTCCCTTCCCCTCCTTCACCATAATGGATAAGGAATCAGTATGTAGCTGCTCCAGAGCAACGTGCAAGTTAATTTAATAATCTCACCAGGAAAACTATTTCAATAACTCAATTAATTATCTCTTGAATTTTGATTAAAGGAAAATGAGCATGCTAAACACTGTGCACAAAGACCCAAAAACTATCAAAATATAACCCTTACCCTCAAAAAGTTTAGAATCCAGTTGCTAATATATATATATATATCATATCAACATTGGATTAACATTCAATCAACCTACACTAGAGATACAAAATTAGGTAATTTTAACTTATACAATGTTATCTATCAATTATATCTCAAGAAAACTTGGGTGAATGCCTCTCTTCACCTGTGGAAAGCCATCCAGCCCCCTCTCCATACATTCAGGCTGGGAGTTATTATCTACAGTCTGGTGAATCAGAGGACAGCATCCTTCTGGCGACAGTGATAGGTTCATGGATGAACATGTGACCCAATCACAGCCAATGAGACACAATCACTAGACTTTTGCTGGGACTGTGAGAAAAAGGTACTCTTTTTCTTCTTCTTTTTTTTTTCCCAACTTGATTTAGAGCTATTAACAACCATCTTGCCACGTCAGGAGGAAAGCCTGTCTTAGAAGAAAACTTTATTTTAGGAAAACAGAACTGGGAGCCGTCTAGAGAAATTGGCCCCTGATGGTATCACTGAACCACTGAAAGCTGGTTCCTGCTCTGGGCTTTTCAATTCTGTGAGCCAAACACACACACACACACACACACACACACACGGAAAGACACATACCTTTTATTGCTTAGACCAGTTTGAGTTGAATTTTCTGTCACTTGTAAAACAACTTTCTTAGAAGCATGTTTCCCATCAGTAAAATGAGGATAATACTGCTACCAGGCTTTGGTGGGGTCTGAGTATTTTGGAAAGTATAAAGCCTATTCAAATATCAAGTATTTTCCTACTTACTTCCTCTTTTCTGCTTCTGCCTATTCCTAGCATAATCATGCTTTTAAAGCATAAACATAATGCTAGACCAAAAGAACATTTTCATTACCAGACATGCCTGTTCTGTGTTCAGGGACTTCTGAACCCCTGTGTTCCACAGAATTCTTCATATCCTAGAATTCTTTGAAACCAAATCAGCAAAGTTCTGTTTCAATGAGCCATTTCTTCCTTAGGCCACAAAAAAATAGCTTCTGCAAATAAAATCCTATGTTAAAAATGGTGTTTGTGGAAAACATTTTACCTGTGATACATGCGAATGTGCTTTGGAAATGAAATTGCCTAGGAAATTCGTTGTTGATGTTTGCTACATTTTCATTACTACTAATTAGTTCAACTCTAAGTTCCTTCTTCTTCTTGCGACTTGCTGCTCAAAAAAGACACAACCATGTGGGGAGCCAACGATGAAAGCTCTTCAGTCTTTATTCAAACAGCAGAAGATTTTCTTTTCAATAACCAACTGCTCATTTTACTTCTAAAAGTCTCTCTGTCCTTCATTTCTGCTTCTCCCTCCTTTTCATGACTCCTTTATCCAGCCTGGAAACCTGATGTTTTTATTTGATCCATCTGCAGGGTTTATTCCTCATAGCCTCTATCAGTGCCTTTGCAGAAATTCATCATCCAACGACAGTGGACATTAGAGGACAGGAATATAAAAAATTAGCAAACAGGACCAATATTTCGGTATGTGAATTCTATCTCAATAAAGCTGTTACCTAAAAAGAAAAAAAAGGCAATGAGTAAATACTGATCCAGCCCTCCAAGAACCAATAGAGAGTCATATCCTGCTCCTCCCCAGAAACAAACCATGTCCGGGGTTCATCAGCATGTAGGATGGTGATATTCTTCTCTCAATATCCAAATAAAACCCAGCAAACCCTCCTTCAAGTGTTACCAGTGAGGCATGTGGGATCACAGTGAGTGGATTGAACTGATAAAGGCATTTTATCTGCCAGCATTTAAATGTGCCCTTTAAAGACTAAAATCAATTCCAACGTCCCTATTTATACTCTGGTGGTACCCATGTGTATATATAGCAAAACAGCCATTAGGAAAGAAGCTTTGCATCTTTCCACATAATCCGAAATGATGGCAAATTTTGACGTGGTAATTAAATCAGAACCATACATAAGAAAAAATATATTGTGGGCTGGATCTATTCAAAGCTACCTTCTTTTTAAATTTAATTTTCCATTCCATTTTTTATGTTTCATCCCGCCTTGCCCGTGTACTCTCCCTGTAATTCATTCTCTAGCTCAGCTGGACTTATTGCTACTTAGACTGGCAGATACAACAGTGAAAAGATGATGTCACCCCTTAGCCAAATTGCACTATTATTATAGAACCGCATGTACTCTCATTCATTTATCTCTGCTGACATCGCTCCATGGGAAGATTTTCCAGGGCAGATGTGAGCTCCCTTGGCAACAAAAATGGTGGAGAGTACACATTCATTTTAAAATACTGAGAGGTGGAATTTAGTAAATCTTGACTCTTTGGAAGTATATTGTGAATAAAGGAGACATCTAATGTCCTCAAATGTGGTCTGATTAAAAACCTCCATCTTGAGCATGGAACAATCCCTCCCCCAGATTTATTCTCATCACGGAAATACGCTCTCCATTTAAAGGCATGCTTTTGACCCACAAAAATCGTGCAGACTAAAGTGGTTTGTTTGGCAAGTATAGGTATATATGCTAAGAAATGACGTCACACTTTAGTTATCATTTGATTAGGAGTTGGGCAAAAATTAGTAAAAGATAATTATGTAGGTTCCATCCAAGTGTGCAAAAACAGCTTCAAAATCGCATACAAGCATTAGAGAGACAGATTTGGACTTTTTGAAGAGGAAAGCAAGCAATCGGAGAAGTGGTATAAAACAGAAAAGGCACCCCAGGAAATGAGAGTGAAAAGAAAACCCAGGAACAATCAGGTTCGTTTGAGGGATACTTTCCCTCATATCTGCCCTTCCTCCTTCTTTCCTCCTAGTTCTTCGGAGAAGTAGGTAACTTTTTAAAATACATTTTCTTTCTTTTTTCTCTTATCTTTTAAAAATATAATTAATGCACAGAGCGAAAATTCCAATAGTACAAAAGCGTATACAAAGAATGAGAAGTCTCCCTCCCACTCCTGAGCCCCTCCCCCTAAGTATCCACCTCGGCCTCACCCAGCAAAAATGAGCACTGTTACTGCCTTCTTGCATCTCTTTATCCTTGGCGTTTATCCTTGGCGTGCACCACGCGCTCATTAGCTGTCTGATGGAGCCTAGGGATAATGTCTGAAAATACGTAAAATAAAATACAGAGGATTAAAAAGAAACCAATTATATTGAAATATGGTTCTATCTCTGAAGCACTTAGGGTTCCATGGGGTCCAGGATAAGAGCCTCCGCTCTTAGTCCCCATATGCACAAGCCTGTTTATATGCATTTCTACCCTGTCCCACAAATGGCAGCACCTCTTCCACAGCAGGTACTGCTGGAGCTCTACTCAGATGTCCTGGAGAGCCAGCACACCCATCGCCTGGCTGCCGTGAGCGAGGGCTACCTGTGGTTCACACTTGCCCTCTTCCGCAGAGAATCCTCCACCCACCCTCCAGCCCGGGACGCACTGCAGCCAACACGGGGTAAGACCTTGGACAACCCTGTGGTACAATTCGGGCCCCTGTGCTCGCGCGGGATCAGGCGAAAGCTGATGTGCACGGAGGCCTTGCTTAGCTTTTTCCCTTGCCCTGCCCCACTCCGCAGCTCCCCTTCTCCTGGGAGCAACCCCTCCTCAAAGCACAAGAATCCCTGTCTCACTCTTTGCTTCTAGAAATCCTGATGCCAGACACTCAGTTACCGCCCCTTACCTTGACGTTTCCATTTACTGATTTCTTGGAAAAGATTCCATATCTGTACATACGGATCTGCCGCATTCTTTTAACAGCCACATACTCTTCCATTAAATAGATTTACCATCATTGATTTAGCACATTTCCAGCACAGTCATTTCCAAAAGTTCCTCTCCGGGAACTTAAGCATCTAATTTTTACACATTGAAATGTGATGATGGCCTTGCCATATTTTAAGGATCTAGTTAGTTGCTGAGGAGTCTTTTCTTCAGCTTCACCACCTATAAAACTTTAGTCCTTTGCTATCTTTTTGGAATAAAGCTTTATTCTCAAAGCAACTTATCTCCAAATTTGACAAGCTGTAAAGACTCAGCTGGCCCCCGGCCCTGGCATCTGTCAGTCCCCACAACCAGAACACCTTACCACCCGATCAAGGACCTTTCTCCAAGCTAAACAGCAGAAAAAGTAGGAACTGCAAATGCTCGCCTAACGAACAAATGTCCAAACGAACTTGGACCCTGGAACGCTGGGCCTCACTGCCTTCCTCCTGTCCTGCGAGAGGAGCAGACGCCTCTTGAGTCTGGTAGGGACCCCGGAGCCCCTTGCTGTGTCTCACACATGACTCCCAACAGCAAACCCCCATTCCCAACAGCACAGTCTAAACCCACAAGAGGGCAAGAAGCACTTCCCTCTCTGCGTCCCCAATCGAAAGGTGGATCTGGGCGCCTGGCTGGCTCAGGCAGTGGAGTACATGAGTCATAATCTCAGGATCGTGAGTTCAAGGCCCACGTTGGGCACGGAGCCTACTTTAAAAAAAAAAAAAAGGAGGGGGTGGATTTGCTTCCCCACTCCCACCCCCGGTAGCGCTTGTCTTGGCATTTCTTTGAGGCTTAACCGCACCTTCTGAAGAGCCTCCCCGGGTGCAGGAATTTCCCATGGTCTCAGTTCCACTTTGCCAAGATTGAAACCAGAACTCACTTTTCCCACCTAGCAGCTGCTCACAGCGTGCGCGGTGATTAAACCCAGAGCGGAGCAGCCCGAGGAAGCAGGTGCTGCTCAGAATCCATTTTCTGGGTAGGAGGGAGGAGACTGGCGGCGGGGTCTGGAGACCCCCAGCGCTGCCGCGGCGGTAGGGTCTCTGCTGGGTTTGTTTCGTGAAGTGAGTTCAGTTACAGCAAACAATGGAGACCGATAATTTCCTTCGCATTTGTTTCTCTCTCCCTCACAGGCATCACCCTTCTCCAACCAGAAAAAATGCCTGATTTCACTCCAAGTCAGACAAAGGCAAAACAGATCCAGAGAAATATTTTTTTCTACCTATCAGATGGGCAAAGGTGAAAATGTCCAATGAACTACATTGGTGTGAACATGGAAAAACACGCTGCCAGTGGGAGAATGAACAAGTCCAACCTCTATGAAGAGAATGGGGCCACTAACTGTCAAGTGCGAAATGCGAAACTCCTAACCCAGCAATTTCACTGATAGGAATTTGTCCTATAGATCGGAGTCCAGCAAACCTTTTCTTTAAAGGGCCAGGGAGTGGGCGACTGGGTGGCTCAGTCGGTTAAGCGTCTGCCTTCGGCTCAGGTCATGGATTCAGGGTCCTGGGATGCAGGACTGCCGCTCGCTCGTGGAGCACTCTCTCTCTCTCTCTCAAATAAATAAAATCTTTTTTTTTAAAGGGCCAGGTCGTAAATATTTTGGGCTTCTAAGCCATGTATTTCTTTTTCTTTCTTTCTTTCTTTCTTTCTTTCTTTCTTTCTTTCTTTCTTTTCTTTTCTTTTCTTTTTTTTTTTTTAATTTATTTGTCAGAGAGAGAGAGGGATAGAGCACAAGCAGGGGGAGCTGCAGGCAGAAGGGGAAGCAGGCTTCCCGCTGAGCAGGGAGCCCAATGCGGGACTCGATCCCAGGACCCCGGGATCACAACCTGAGCCGAAGGCAGACGCTTAACCTGCTGAACCAGCCAGGTGTCCCATTTTCTTTTCAGGCCACGTATTTCTGTTGCAACTACTCACCTCTGCTGTTGTAGCATGAAAGCAACCACAGACAATATGTAAACAAACAGGCGTGGCTGCCACGCAATAAAACCTTATTTACAAAAACAAATGGCAGCTTGAAATTGGCCCACAGGCTGTAGATTGCCAACCTCTGCTAGGTATTACAGCAAATGTATACAAAAACATGTATAGTATATTCTTCATAACAACGGCCTAAGAATGGAAACCACCTTGATGTCCATCAAGAGTGGACTGGATGTAAGCAAATTCTAGTACCTCCTTTCGGTAGAATACTTGCAGCCGGTAAAAAGGAGGCTGCTCTATCTGCACTGATAAGGGTGATACCCAAAACATATCAAATGTTTTAAAATGCAAGGTGGAGAACAGAGTACAGTATGCTTCCATTTTTTTATTAAAAATGCATAAATGCATTTGTATGTATTTGCTTATCTAAGCATTACACATATCTGAAAGGACACCCAAGAAGTTGGGGAGGGAAACCAGATGGGAGACAGGCGCATGAGGGAGATTTTTTTCACTGTCTGCTCCTTTGTGCCCTGTGAATTGCATACTATGTGCTTCACTAATGAAGAGCAAATAAATATAACTGAATTTTTTAATTGCATGTGCACTTCTAGTACTGTTATGAATCACCAAGTATAGACAAAAAAGTCAAGTGGGGCTCTGGGCAGCAGACCTCTCTATTCCGAAGTCCCCTCCCGTGCCCAGAGGCTATGGTGGCTGTCAAAGAGCATCATAGTGGGAATCAGGGGACCTGGCCTCAAGTCCAGCCTCTGTTACTGACTCTGTGCTGTCCTGAGCCAGTCAATCTCATCACTCTGATCGTCCCTTTCCTCTTCTGTACAATGCAGGTGATATGAGCTATGTAATTTAAATAATACTACTACTATTGGGGATATCTTTTAACGTCTCTGGGCTGCTTTCCTCATCTGCAAAATCAGAAAGTTGGACAAAATGAGGCTTTTCACTCTCAAATGCACAATTCCATTAATAAACAAAGCTGTCATTTACAAGAATTCAGGCAGAATCACCAAGTTGGCAAGCTAGGAAGGATCTCTTCTTGCTTATCTCAAGAGATGACTACCAAATCCAAAAGAGAAAATAAGATATCTGTTTGCACTTAGAAATCCAGTCCAACCTGGAGGTGGCAAAGGTCTGCCTTCTTCCAAGGACACCACCTCTCTTTCCTTGGCCTGGTCCACCCAGCAGTTGTCACAGCCGGGCAAATTTTTTTTCTTTTTTTTTAGCAGCCACTGGGTACAGAAGACATCCTGTTGGAAAAAATTTAGGAAATGTCAGTCACAAAGAGAAATACACTAATAGTATCAAATAATAGCCTCATGAGTGCTGGCAGGACAAAGAAATGGAGGGACCCTGTTCGGCAGGGCCATGTAGGGAAGGCCGTGCCTTGTCCCCACTTCTGGCCTCTGCTAAGAGCTCACCATTTGTATTGTTTCAGGAACTCCAGGGAGATAACAGATGGTGATGAGGAAGAGCAGGGTTGCACTATCCTCCTGTTTCTGAGAATTTCTGGCTATTGTTAAGCAAAAGTTTGGAGAAGTTAAACTGACAGGAAATAACACGCTTGTTGAGTTATAAGGTGGCAAATGTTGTGAAATCCTTTTTCAGAAAAGGCCAGCTAAGAGAGAGTGTGCTGATGTGATAAGGAGCAGAACTCTTAAGACCATCTCAGCTGGTGGAAGTCTATCTCTTTTCCTTCCTCATTTCCATGAGCTCAGGAGTATACAGACAGATGCTTTGAAAAGCATGTTGCAAAGATTCTTTGTGTCCCTGACTTCAAAGAAACTTTTATTCTTGAATAAACCGTGTTGGCCTCCCAACTTTAGAACCAAAGCAGCCAGGGACACCTGGGTGGCTCAGTTGTTAAGCATCTGCCTTCGGCTCAGGTCATAATCCCAGGATCCTGGGATCGGGTCCCACATCGGGCTCCCTGCTCAATGGGGAGTCTGCTTCTCCCTCTCCCACTTCCCCCCCCCCCGTGCTTTTTCTCTCTCACTCTCTCCGAAATAAAATAAATAAAATCTTAAAAAATATATATATATATATAAAAGAACCAAAGCAGCCAGTCAAATCTAAGAGTTTTTAACAAATCACAGACTCTATCTGGAAATGCAGAGTGTACAGTGGGGACATGTCCCCAGAAATGACAGGCTGGGAGAGGGCGAGGGAATGGGGGGACTTAAGGCAGCAGAAGCAAAGGAAGGTGAGATTTCAAATGTGAATTACAGAATTGTGCTTTCTCTTTGAGAGATGGGAGGAAATATTCATTAAATATAAGTCACAGGACATCAGGGTTTGGTAAAAATTTTGGTAGATTATGGGGCAACTAGAAAGAGGATAGAAAAGAAAAAGAGAGTGAATTCAGTATAAGAATTTGCTGTAAGAGGGGCGCCTGGGTGGCTCAGTCGTTAAGCGTCTGCCTTCAGCTCAGGTCATGATCTCAGGGTCCTGGGATCGAGCCCCACATTGGGCTCCCTGCTCGGCAGGAGGCCTGCTTGTGTTCCCTCTCTCCCTGTCTTTCTGTCAAATAAATAAATAAAACCTTTTAAATAAATAAATAAATAAATAATGAAAATAATAATAAAAATAAAACAAAAATAAAAAAAATTCCAGGTATGAAAAAGTCATGGGGATGAAAATAACTTTGTGTGGTGAGAGATGGGGACTACATTTACTATGGTGAACATTATGTAATATATAGAATTGTCGAATCAGGGGGCGCCTGGGTGGCTCAGTTGGTTAAGCGACTGCCTTCGGCTCAGGTCATGATCCTGGAGTCCCAGGATCGAGTCCCGCATCGGGCTCCCTGCTCAGTGGGGAGTCTGCTTCTCCCTCTGACCCTCCTCCCTCTCATGCTCTCTGTCTCTCATTCTCTCTCAAATAAATAAATAAAATCTTAAAAAAAAAAAAAAGAATTGTCGAATCACTGTTTTACACCTGGAACTAATATAACATTGTATGTCAACTGTATTTCAAAAATGATAATTTTTTAAAAAGAAGAATTTGCTGTGTACTCTCTTTGGGGGTTGCCTAATAAGGAGAAAGCTCCTGATGGGGGGCTTTGTGCTAAAGAAGAATAGGCAAACCCCGATGGGGGTATGGGGCTGAGAGAGAGCATTCAGAAGGACCAGAACCCAAGGGTGTCCTATAATTTAACCTAATTATGACACTACCTACCTGAAAATTGCATCAGATCCCACGGTTCATGATCAATTATTAACTCCATTTTCTAGTCCCTTTCCCACCTCAGGGGTAGGAGATACGGCTGAAAATTCCAAGCTTCTAATCTTGGGTTGGTCTTTCCAGTGACCAGCTCTCATCCAGGATCCATCCAGGAGCCCTGTTAGAACAAAAGACAGTCCTGTCACCCAGGAAATTCCAAGGGATTTAGTACCCTGTTTCAGGAACTGGGATCAAAGACAAATACTAGAATAAGAGATGCTGCTAACACTCTTACCATTTAGGAAATTATGAGGCTTTTAGGAGCTCTGGTCCAGGAACCAGGGGCAGAGACCAATATATGTTTTCTATTACCTCACAGCACCTTATTTCCACTTTTACTATTTTGCAAAAATACTGTAATATACATCCTTATACATGTCTCCTGGTATAAATATGCAAAAATTTCTTTCAACTAATGTGTATGTACAAATAGAACTGTTGTTTTCATAGTATGCCTCCCTTAAACTTTACAAAATAGTGTTAAATTATTTCTAAAGTGGTTGTACCAACTTACACTCAAACCCACTTCCCAGAGGACATTATTTGACTTTTTTTTACATTTGACATTCTAATGCATGTGAAGTGCTTTCTTGTTTTAGTTTGCGTTTTCCCGATTACTAGTGAGGTTGAGCATCTTTTCATATGCATTTCCAATCTGTAACTTAGATAACTTTTCTATAATTCTATCTGTTTCATATTGATCTGTAGAAGTTTCTTATACATTCTGGAAACCAGTAATTTATTTGATATATCTGAGCTGATTTTTTAATTTTTCACCTACCAGATTGGAAACCAAAATATTGGTAATCCATTCTGTATTATAAAATTCAAGTTATATGGGTATTCTTATAAGAAAAAAAAAGCCACTTGATTTTCTGATCTAAAAAATTCCTGGGGCACCTGGGTGGTTCAGTCAGTTAAGTGTTTGACTCTTGATTTCAGCTCAGGTCATGGTCTCAGGGTCTTGAGATCAAGTCCCGTGTCGGGCTCCGTGCTGGGCATAGAGTCTGCTTAAGATTCTCTCTCTCCCTCCCTCTCTAAAAATAAATAAATAATTTCTAAAATATTTCTATCTTTGACTCTGATGCACTGAAACTTCTACAAATGGCCAGTTCCTAGAGTGCCTAAGAATATTACAATATAAGGTCCAATAGAACTTGACACAGTGGAAGCATCTTCCCTCAGACTTGTTTTAAACTTTCTGTTATCAGTCAAGGTCCTCCTGTCCCCCAAAAGAGAAACGGATGATATACTCAAACCAGGAAACTTTGAAGAGGTTTTACCAACAGAGGAATTAGTTCCAAAGGGGTGAGTGGGTATAAGGGACCCATGAGAGGTCATGGTAGTGGGACTGTCACCATCCCCAAAAGGAAAAAGAGAAGGCGAGCTTGCCATAACTTTGAACAAAAGAGGGAGGGTAGGGAGTGGGCCATCTAGACAAGAGCAGCAACCTTCTGCTGAGGGACACAGTGGCCCATGGTAACCTCACAGGAAGGAATCAGGGAAATAAAGGCCCTGACCTCATATTCCTCTTTCCTTCCCTTTCATCTCTGCAGAAAGCCAGAGATTTGATGTAATCCATGCAAGACAGCCGGGCAGGTTGGAGAATGGTAGGGGGAAAGGCAGAGAATGAATCTAGAGAGGCATACTGAAGAAATTCAACACCCTGTGTAGCCAAATCATTTCAGGTTCTATCCCATGTGTAGGAAAGGCAGATAACTTAATGAAGTTATAAAGAATTTTGAAACATTTTTCTTTTTTTTCTGAATCTGAGTTAAATCATGAGTTGCTAAGCCAAGAGCTTCAGTCTGAACCCTACAAAGCATAGACTGCACCACACCAGCCTCATATAAGGTGATTTACTGAAGATCAGAAGTGTTGAATAATTCTCAATTCCTTGTAAACCCAAGGGGTCTACTATAAACTTTTAAATGTTAAGGATGACTTTTTTGAAATTATATAGGAGAAATTAGAACAAGGCAAGGACAGATCAACCATAGGGCCAGATACGTAGTTTGTGGAATGCTTCGTCTCCTGTTTTCCATCTTTCATCTCCAACAAGGAGAAGGATTTATCAGACAGGAAATAGTTGAACAAGCATTCAGACGAGAAACCTAAAAGTCCAAACTGGTGGAGGGACTATAAGAGAGCACCTGGGTTCACAACATCAGTACAAACCTCCTGGCCCCAACGAACTACATCCCAGCCTGCTTCCAGTAGGAAGAACGTGATGATAAAAGGAGCCGCTATTCATTATCTTTGAAGAATCTTGGGAAATGGGGCAGGGAAGAACAATGCAATTCTCAGACAGGTTATCAAACATCCCTCTGAACACAGAGAGGATGGGAAGCACTTAAACATGCCTAGGAGTCAGGAAGGACAAGTCGGAATTTAATGAATTAATAGAATTTCCTTTCCTTTTTTTTTTTTTTTAACTCTGCCAGACTGGTAAATTAGAGAAAGCAGTCAACACTGTGCTTCAGCATTTTAGCTCAGTGTTTGACAGAGACGCGCACCTTGTGAGCAAGATGGAGTAGTTGATCCAGATAATCACGAAGATAGATGCTAATTATGAATCCATGTCACCCCGGTCTCTAGTGCCATGGGATTCTGTCTCCAGCCTTGTCCTGTTCATTGAGTAGATAGCTGAGTGTACAGCCAGCTTGCTTTTCCTCTTCCTTGAGGACTGGGTGAGGTAGCCAGTATATTGAATGGCAGAGTGAAGATTCAAATGCCATAATAATGAGCTAGATTTCACAATAAAAATTCTAATTGAAATAAACATAAACCACTATACCTATATTCTTTAATGCATAAGAACAGAATCAGAAAAACATGCCAATGCTTCAAACTAAACATGAAGAATTTCATCTCTTGCTTTTATTTCTCCCCTCTTCCAAAACCGACCAACACTACAGTAGATGAACGTTTCCTAACAAAAGCATAAATCCAAAGGAACAAAGAGAAGGAGAGAGGAGGAAAAGAGGACAGGGGATGTAGACGATAATTTGAAAGATGGAAAGTGTGGTAACTGAATTGGCAGAACCCACCACTGAAGCATATGCAAACAGGGATACCACTGAGAATGAAGCAAATTCACCTCAAAGAACCCTGGAAAGGCCTAGAACTAGGGGACCCAGCTACTGCAGAAGGGAGTGGTGAAGCACAGAGTCAAAAGTAGAAGTATATGAAAATATGAATAGAATGAGCTGTTTAGAGGCTCCTGGGTGGCTCAGTTGGTTAAGCATCTGCCTTCGGCTCAGGTCATGATCCCAGGATCCTGGGATCGAGACCGCGTCGGGCTCCTCGCTCAGCGGGGAGCCTGCTTCTCCCTCTTCCTCTGCCTGCCGCTCCTCTGCTTGTGCGCTCTCTCTCACTCTCTCTCTCTCTGACAAATAAATAAATAAAATCTTTAACAAAAAAAAAGGAATGAGCTGCTTAGTGAAAGTGCGTTTCCATTCACTGAGGAAGTTTAAGCAGAAGTTGGACAACCACTAATCAAATATTTTATAAAAATAATTCAAGCTCTTGGTAGAAATTTGGCTCCAATGACCTTTAAAGTCCCATCGCCTCTGAAATCCTGTGATTCTAATAATCGTGTAGACAGGCCTCCAATACGTTTTAATAACTTCTGCATGTAGTTCACATGAGTTTCCTATAGGTGGCACTGTGGTATGAGATAAGACAGCAAACAGCACCTGCCGGATTCTTCGAGGCTATGGTAGAGTACATATGGTAATACGTAATACCCAGAATGTTTCGCAATTAAAAAAAAAAAAAATCAGAAACCTGAACCCATAGATTCAGAACACCTAGGCACAAAAGTCCTAGTGACCCATGAGCCTTTGTGTGCATTAGTTTGTCATCCTTCTCAGCTCTGGCCATCTTATCTCAGCTGTGACATTTCAATCTATTTGTCACTCTTGGACAGCAAAATAAGTGATAATGCAAAGCAACTGTTCCTTCACATCCCAAGTGTCCTGCTTCATTAAGTGCACCTTTTACCTCAGAGGTCCTGGGAGTGTGGAGCCCTACAAGTTTTATCCCCCTTGATTTAAATAATAATAATGATGTAGGAAAGATGCTGGGGTTCTGAGCCTATGGCCAAGGAAGAATTCTTGAGATGCCTTTGGTGCAAAAAGGTGATTTTATTAAAGCACAGGGGCAGGATCCATAGGCAGAAGGAGCTGCGCTGGGGTCCCGAGGAGTGGCCCATTATATACTTTCACATTGGGAGGGGGGTTAGGGATAGCATAAGTCTCTAAGGAATTTTGGAAGCAAGGTTTCCAGGGTCTTGAGGGGGCTAGCCATTGTTAGGAAAAGGTAATTTATTACCACCTAATAAAACCTTAGTCATGAGACCCTGCAGATATATATCGGTGGGCCATATGCTTGAGGGATGATTGCCAACATGTATCTTGGGGGATAGAGATAAAGGAAGTTTCCAAAGGAATTTTTATATGTTCAAGCAGACTTACAGGATCCTGGCAGTTGGGCTAAGATCACCTTTTGCCCTTAGCAAAGAATTAACATTGAGGCAGCTGAGTCCCTAGAGGAATATCACTCTACCTGTTTCAAGGACTTGACAGCCGGCTGTAGGTAGTAAGGAAATTTTTCTTTTGTCTGTTTCCTACATCAGTAATAATAAATAACAAAACAAAAAACTATTTTTCCAGCACAAGTTCAGACCAGTGCCCCAAATATGATTGTCTGGTTCTCTTCCCTTTCCACAGCTAAAGATTTATGCTTTGCTTCTTACAAACTAATCACTTAATATCTAGCTCTCCCTGACAAATTTTGCAATTCATCAAAGCTGTAAATTTGGTTTCTTTATTTCTCTTACCTGTTTCAGATTTACAAGGTCCATGGGGAATATCTGCTCCTCATCAAGGAATGTCTCCATCAATTCCATAGATTCAGATTACTCTGCTCCTACATTCAGGTCTCAATTCCATGAAAACTTCCTAACGTTAGGAATCTTTTTTTTTAAGAGAGAGTGTGCGAGTGTGCAAGAGCAGGGGGAGGGGCAGAGAAAGAATTCCAAGCAGACTCCATGCTGAGCTTGGAGCCTGACTTGGGGCTCAATCCCACAACCCCAAGATCATGATCCCAGCTGAC